TGCTATGAACTTCATTGCCAAATGTGGGTGAGACACGCTCGCCTCGAATGCGGCAAACATCCTTCTGCCGAGGATGGCGTTGTATGCTGACAAGGTGTCGAGAATTAGGAGCTGGATGTCCGCAGACCTGAAAGTGGGTGGCGTTCCTATTGACAAGCATAGTTTAATCATGCCAAGGGGCTTGGTTACTGTTGCATTAAAACCTGACAGTTCACCAACAACAGGGGTTAAATCATTCAGCGTAAACCCTAATGCCTTGAAACAAGGTAAAAATAAAATGTCGGCAGAGCTACCATGGTCAACAAACACGCGGTTAACGCCGAAATTAGCTATTATTGCTTGGATGACCAAGGGGTCATCATGTCCGGGTAGGACGTCGCCCAAATCGCTGTTGTCCCAGACGATTTTAGGCCTGGTGTGGTCAGTATTGGCTTTTGCTTTGTTGATGATTTTACCAGACACCGCCAAACATTGTTTCAAATGCTTCTTCCGGGCATTCGCCGTTTCTCCGCCGCCACTTAGTCCTCCTGCAATCATGTTTATAATTTCGTGCTTGATGACAACCGAATCTTCGTCACGATCTGCACGCCCTTCACTATTGTTTGGGCTGGTTTGGACCCTGCGGTTTCTGGGGGAGTTTTCTCTGTGGTTCTGTTCACGACGAGGTCTGTAGTCATATTGGCCAGCTCTTCGCCTTTCTGGTGACCTGCTACATTGACGGAGACGCTTGACGACACCGACATCACGCCCAGAATTACTCGTCTGCCTTTGGGCTCCACCCTTGATTAGCTCGTCAATCTCATCCTTGAGAGATCTGCGATCTTCAGTGCTATGGCTGTTGCTATGGTGGAACTTGCAATACACAGTGGTCTCTCTATCTGGCTGTTGGGGTTATGGGTTACTCTTGCGATCTTTGTATTCGGTTTGTAGGACGCTGTGTGATTGGTGTCTTTGGGTATGACGCCCAACTGAGCGGCTGGAATACTTGGAGGATTTGTGACTTCTCCTCTCTTCATCCTGAAGGTCTTTTTTGTTGGCTTTCTTCTCTCGGTTATGAGAGTCGTCAGCTCTACTCCCCTTGTACTCTTCAATCCTCATGAACTCCTGAGCCTTTTTCTTGACCTCTTCAAGGTCAGTAATTTCGTGGCGAGCAAGCTCATATGCGAACGCCCCTTGGCGCAGGCCTGAGAAGAGTATGTGCACCTGTACTTTAGGGTCTAAGCCTTGCACCTGAAGAGCCTCTTTGTCGAAGCGGTCCAGGAAAGATCTGAGGGGTTCCCCTGATTGCTGTCGAATTTTTTTGAGGGCGTGTACAGACTTGGGCACTGGACGACTTGTTGCAAAATAGGTCTGGAATTTGCTGGCCAGATCATCCAAAGATGCTATACTCCCTGTTGGCAAAGTGGTGTACCATGTCAAAGCTCTACCCCCCAGGAGTGTAGGGAAAGTCCTCCACATAAGGAGGTCTGTCTCGCCATGCAGGGTCATTGCTGCCTCAAATTTTTGGATCCATTCAAATGGATCAGTGTCGCCCACATACGTTGTGATATTTGACAGTCCTTTGAAACCGAGGGATATGGGCATTAGGCGTAGACTATTAGTCAGGGGTTTGTTGCGTCCTGAGGTATTGGCAGATGTTACTCTTAAGTTCAGGTTACGAGCATATAGGTCTGGTGGTGGGTGTGGTGCTTGAGGGACCTCAACAGAGTAAGAGAGGGCTGAGGCTTGATGAGCGTCATACTGTGGCGGGCCTGGGTTTATGCCTGATCCTTGGGGTTGTGGGATGATAGCATTATGGGGCGGTATTGTGTAACCGTGGAATGGAAAGCCAGTAGGGAAAGGTGGGGGGGTAAGGGACAGCAACATTGTGGGTGTAAGGTTCAGGGGGATATGGGGTGGCCACAGGAACTCGATGGTAGTTGTACATAGCGACGGGTTGGCTTCTAGCTGATCGTTGGTGATAAGCTGGGAAAATGATTTGTGGGCCAGGGGTGGGGAGTGGCTTTCCAAAACTAACTCCTGGTGGTGGAGATTGATTTGGGATCAAGTTCTCTCCTTGCATTTCGCGTATGGCTACGCGACGATTCAGCTGTGCTACTTCAGCATCTGCTGCTTGTAACTGTGGGCCAACATATTGCAGTACCGGGGGAAAAGCCTCGCCGGCTGCTTGTTCCGCTGGGGCTGAATGCCTGGATGGTGGAGAGTTAGAATGAACTGTTTGTGCATGACCTTCAGGGGTAACAACTCTAGTTTGTTCTGCTCTTCTTGTCGTGACAGCCATGTTTTGCTATCAAAAAGTGAAATGCCTCCTTTAGATCTTTGGTAAAAGAATGGGAATAGAAGTTTATAGTTTCCCAAGCCCACTATGTTCCCTTTTGGGATGGAGTCACTATATGGATTATACCCTTAGCACAGGTAGAGACCAAGCTAAGTGATATAGTTCCAAGTATGAAACAAGCAATTAACAATGGGGTAGGTGTGTGGATGTGTGATTCAATGTAAATTGGCAGAATAACGATACATAAGATAAGATCCTTCCTCAAGTGCCAGGGGGCTATTTATAGAGGAGGTGATGTGAATCTTGCTTGGGTTGGTGAGGAGGGCGTCAACCCTCCTTGGGACCTGCTAAGGGTGGCTGTGCTGGGCGTGGCAGACGCTGCTGTGATAGCAGCGTTGCACCCCCTATGCCTGGCGGTGTCAGCGTAGGACAAAGGGCAGTTTCCCTTTATGGCATCTGGGGCGACTACCTTCGGGGGTTATGGTCCCAAGGTAGGATATTTCGGTGTTTCCCCTTGGGAGAGTCGCCGTGTTGGGAGTTGGGGGATCTCACCAGCTGGTAGGGCTGACGTGTCTTGAGGGTTGAGATTGGGCCTGGACCTTTGGACCGTCGCACCGTTGGGCCGTAGCACCGTTGGGCCACCCGGAACAATATATATACATGTATATATATATATGAGTTCACTTTTTCTGCAGTTAATGTAGATAAGTTATCTGTAGTAAGCTCAATACGACATCGTCTTGGGGCGGAAATCATGATGTGTTTGTAATTTTAATTTATTTAAGGGGTATAATACTTTTTATATTTATAATTTTTTAAGATTTCAATACCAAAATGACGTCATTTTGAGAATAAATGCAGATAACTTATATGCATTAACTGCAGAAATATTTCTCCATATATATATATATATATATATATACTTGAGATAATCTTATCTTTGGCTGGTAAATCGTAACCGTACAAAGATGGATCAATGGTGATAAATGAAGAGAGAAAAAAAGAAAATCATAACCATTCAAAGGTGAATCAATTAATATAAGGAAATAAATAAATAAAACGACGTAATTTTAGAATAGCCGAAGATAAATTTATCTCAAGCTGCTTGAGAAATATTTTTTCCATATATATATATTACAGATTTTGCTTCAAAGTATTTTTATACATATTAAAAAAAAACCTTGCGTTTTGAACTGCATTGTAGCATTTTTATTCTAGCCAATGTATACTTTTGCGAATTTTCATTACGAAGACATTCATGAAAATATCTAAAACACTCCGTTTTCTGTTTAATTGCCAACTACATTATATTTTACAACCAGTGTTTTAAAATCCGGCTCGGACTGGCCGGGTCGACCTGGGACTCGGTGACTCGGTGGGTTCCCCGGTCCGAGCGAAACCCGGTGACCCGGTTTACCCGGCCGAAACCCGGCGACCCGATTGACCCAGTTTAGACTGGTTATTCCTTTTTTTTTTTGGTAAATTTTTCTTTTTGTTGATAGGAACTCTTGAATTAAATCATATTCATATTTTATGATGAATATGATTAAAAGTAAGGTGAAAATAATAAGGTATTTTAGATTAGTGCAGTTCGTTTATGTAATTTAGTCGCATCTTATAATGATCTCATGAAGTTAAGTGGTGATAAACACCGATAGTCTCATGATCTAATCTCAACGGTGGGCACATTTTTTTTAGTGTATATTTCATGTATACTATTTGTTATCATGATAACAGTGACACTTTTTTCTTAGTGTATATTTTATGCATACTATTTGTTATCATGATTTAATTTATCCGTATCATGTCAAGCACAAAAAGTGCATTTAACTTAGGGAAATATTTTTCTCATATTGCATGAGACAATTTGTCTCATATAACACACAAAAAGTGGGTGGAACCCATTTTTTTTCTTTCTCTCTCCTCTTCTTAGTGGATCCTACCCATTTTTTGTGTGTTGCATGAGACAAATTGTCTCATGCAACATGAGAAAAACATTTCCCTTTAACTTATATTGCAATTTTAATCGAATATTAGGATATGGTCTAGAGCTAGAAGCTTAGAAGTATATAATATTTGCTATTATTGAAAATCAATTTATTTTTTTGAAGCTTATTGATAGTTTTCTTATGTGAATTTTTATTAATATAAGTAATATTTTTATATTTTTAATATGTGAACAGTAAATCCGGTTGAACCCGTTGAACCAGTGACCCAGTACCTCGACCGGTTCGATAACCGGTCCGAGTTTTAAAACACTGTTTACAACTACATATTTTATGACGTGTTATCACATAATTAAATCCTTAAATTAAACGAAAGTATAATACAAAAAATCAGTGAAAACAAATGAAAATTAGTTTCTAGTCTATATCGAGCTAGTTGGGAGATTTTACGGGTTACTATAATCCCAAAAAAAAAAGAGAAGACTCATGGATTCAAAAAAAAAAAAGAAAAGAAAAGAAGACCCAAACATGTGGGCTATACAAGGCCCAAAGAGATTGAAGGACTCAATCGTAATTTTATCGACAACAGAAAAATTAGGGTTTCGTTGTTGTTCCCTTCCCACCCTCTCTACCTATTTAATCCCTCCATTCTCTTCATCCCTATTCAATCACCGCTTCCATTTTTTTTCTTCAACGATTACTTTCAAGTCCTTCTCTTCCGATGTCTCACGTTCTCTCGTTCCAAGTTTTAATTTTTCTCTTCCTTTTCAATTTTGTGGCAGTGATGACGAATTTATATATACCATCAAACTATGAAAGCTAAATTGAGCTTGTTGATGCCATCGATAATCTCTGAGCCTTTTTTCGATTTTTTTTGGTTGGGTTTGAATTTGTAGAGAATAAAATAGGCAACAAATTAGAGTCTCTGATTCGCCTATTCCATGGCGCTTTCAGTGCTGTACGTTGCCGACAAAGATTTGGAGCTGAGATTCTGGCATTTGCCTTTGATTTTCGTCAGGCTTATGCATTCAGATGCTCCTACATTTTCAATCGTTTCTGTAAAATCCCATTTTTTATATTAGGAGAGTTTAATGGTGAAAATAAGAATTCCCCCCCCCCCCCCCTTTTTTTTTTGTTGAAAAAGTGTTCCATTTTTATTCTAATAGTTATTTTCTATTATTTAGATCTGGGAATTTGCAAAATTTTTAAAAAAACTGTTCCTATTTTTTTGTTGGCATTGATTGGTTAATTGTAGTATTAATTTGATTGAGAGGGTGATATAGTGATATTGTTAAAGCAATCAAGCACTGAACTCGGTCATAATAAAGCTATTAAGTTGGTCTTTCGCCCTTTTGTGTTTGATGAAATGTGGTTGGTGTAAAACAACCAACTCCCAGTGTTCAGAAGAATCATTCACTCCATGGCCCGTGTGTGGCGCAGTGACAGACGGGATTGGTACCAGCCATCATAGAGGATGACCCCGGCTTTCTTTACATATGAGCATTCGTGTGATCCCCTGATGCGGATAAAGTTTAATCTCAGTTTAAAAATGTTTTGCAAACTGGAAATTTTGAAGGATTATACTCTTGTGTTGATTCTAACTTCGAAGCAAACCATTTGAAGTTGCTCTTTGTGTTGGTCAAAATAGTATACCAAGAAAATGTAAAAAGATACACACACCAAAGGATAGGTTATGAGCAGCAATAAATGATACTCAAGGCAATGTACCAAACCAATTGAGACACTCAAGGCCAGGGGCCTCCGTAATATGGCTGTAGATTTTCTTTGTAAATTGTTCACTTGGGTTGAATTTTATGTAACCCTTTCAGGAACTTCTTGTGAGTTGTGACTATGGAATTGGTAATACAAACGAAAAATACTAAGCATTTTTTAAAATTAGCTGAAAATCTGCATGGGGCAAGCTCCATGTGGAGAAAATCCGCGTAGCACAAGACACCGAGAATTTCATCAATGACATTTTTAAAAAAATTTAAAATATGTAAATTTTAAGGTGGTTTTAATGTTTCTAAAGTGAATATAAAAAGTTATCTATATTCGCTCTCAAAACGACGTCGTTTTGGGATGAAAAATTAAAAAATTATAATGAAAAAGACTATTATAAATTGAAATAAATTATAATTACAAAAATATCTTAATTTTCGTTTTAAAACGACGTCGTTTTGAGCTCACGGTAAATTAAGTTATCTACGTTGATAAAAAGCGAACCCTTTTAAGGTATTGTATTACATTTGGTTTTAACTTGGCAAAAACTATGGCAGATATATAAGAAGAAAAAGTTGAATGATTCTTGGTTTTAAGCTAAAAAGGTGATGTTATTCATGTAGTTCTATTATAAATTTTGGTTTGCCCTTACCTGAAGTTTTTATGATTTCCAAGTAGAGGTTTTACATACCATCTTCTACTTTAGGGAAAAATTTTAAAGTCCCTTATGGTTTTAATTATTTATACCCTTATATTTTTTTTAAACATTTACCCTATGATTTTTTTCATTCAAACTCATTCTTAACACCATTAGAAACTAAAATAATCTATCTATTTTATCATTCTTAGAAAAAAAAAAAAAACTAAACTAATGTGTCTATTTTAACTTTCTTAGAAAAAAATAGATCGAGGACAAAAAAATAAAATAAAAGAAGAAATAAGACCAAATATTTTGAAAACTTGTGACATTTATAGAAAAGACAAAATAAAAAAATAGAAGAAAAAAATTCAAATATATCTAAATCAAAAAGAAAAAATAGATTAAGGAGACAAAAAAAAAAAAGGAAATAAGATCAAATATGTTTGAAACTTACAACGTTAAAACTACGAGGGAGGATATTCTCACTACCAAAATTTTTCACTACCAACTTACTACCTATCTAATTACCATTGGATCAAAGAGAGAGAATGCTAAAAAAAATTTGAAGAGAGAGAAAATATTAATCCAATGGTGATTAGATAAGTAGTAAGTTGGTAGTGAAAAATTTTGGTAGTGAGAATATCCCTCCTCTAAAACTAAAAATAAAAATAGTGTGAATAAAAAAAATAGATTGAAGACCAAAGAATAAAAGAATGAGATTATATATTTAAATAAAAAAGAAGAAAATAGACTGAAGATTAAAAAATAAAGCTAAATATGTTAAAATTTTATAACACTGGTTCCTTTTTCTTTTTTATCTTATTTTTTTCCATTTCTTTTAAAAGTGATGGAAAAGACTAAAAGTGAAAAAAATAAAAATAGAAGAAAATAAAAAAGAAAAAAGAAAAAAATAGACCTAAGATAAAAAAGAAATCAAAATATGTTAAAAATTTAGTGATTTTTTTCTTCTATTTCTTTTTCATCTTTTGTCTATTTTCTTCTTTTTCAATTTAGATTATTTTAATTTTTTAAATTTTAATCTTTTATGTGAGTTGTAACTTTCCATCATATTTGGTCCTACTTTTCCTTTTATTTTTTTTGTCATCATTATATTTTCTTCTTTTTTATTTGGATTAATTTTTGTTTAATTTTAGTCTTTTAATTACTGTAATAAGTAGGGTTGTTAAAAGAGTCAGGGGCCTTTCAAGAGTCTTTGGCCTGACTTGTGTAGACTTGGTCTGACCCGTTTATTTTGGTTGTTGGATACAGACTTGGACTTGTGTAAAAGCTCATTTAATAATAAGGCCACATGCTCCAATTTCAAAGCTCGATCTTAAAGCCTATCAGACTGGCCTTGCATACTAACTCTTGTTTTTATTTTATATTTTTTTATACTACTCATTATTAAACCCAACCTAATTTTCACTTCCTCTTCGTGGTCCATCATCATTTTTGTTGTCTTATTTTTTTAACAAGCTAAGCCAAGCTTCTTCTTCATTTTGTAAATAAGTCAAGTTACAGACCGATAATTATATTCATAACAGGTTTCAGACTAGGCCAGTCTGACACATTTAAACACAGACTTGGCTTTTCAAGAACAAAGCTCCGCCCGGCCAGCCCATTAACACCCCTAGTTATAATTTTTCAATATATTTGATGGGTAATTGGCGCAGCAATTGGCCTCCCTCAATGTATGAATAAAGTGGACTTGACAGTGACGATTAACCATTGCTTGAATCCAAGTCACGAAAGATGACTCACGAGCTTTCTCACCATGCCTAGTGAGCAACGCGACAATAGAGCTTGATTCGCTTTCGATGATTAGTTTCCTGACACCCTTACTCCAAGCTAGCTGGAGCCCTTTCTAAACGCCCCACAGTTCTACATTCCATGCTAAACAAGTACCAATAATGTAAGAAAATCCACCTCTCCGCTGGCACTTGAGTTTCACCATCACCCCACCACAAGCAGCGACCCCCGGATTGCCCCTAGAAGCAACATCTGTATTTAATTTAATAAATTCTTTCGACAGAGGAAGCCAAATAATAGTACGCTGGACCGGAAGAGAGGTGTCTTGTAGAAACGCATTGCACACTTGCTGTGCATTTTCAATCACAGCGAGATGCAAGTGGATAAAATGATGGGATGGTTGGCCATGTGCAACTAAATTAATCCACTGTCATATCATCCAGTAGCCAACAATAAAATGAGTAGCCAATGAGATTGTACCTGTACTTTCCCTGCTATAACTCTAGTTCCATTGTAGCCACTCAAGTATATCAACCTCGAAGAAGGTTTCCTTTTATGAAGGAGACAGAATAACAGCCCATATCGTTTTGATAATGGCACAGTCCCTAACAACATGAAGTAAGGTTTCTACTGGTTTATTGTAGATGGGGCATCGAGGAACCCCATGGGACCAGTAACATTCCATGCTTTGGTAGATAATCTGTTATGGGCTAACTTCTATTGAAAAATTTTCATGCGCTGAGGACCTTTCCAACCCCACAGTTTTCTCCAGAACGCATATAGCAAGTGGGCATCATCTGTCGTGGCCTCTAATAGAGATGTATAACAGTTTTTTACCGTGACCCTAGCCGTATTTTCAAGTCTTCCAACCCGACGATCCGATCTATCCTCCAAAGTAGGTGGCAAGCAACTCCAAATTTGTTGTATAGTATTTTCAGGTAGCCACGTCTGTAGTAGCTCAACTTGCCAATTGACGTTGTCATCCACGTAATCATACACACATTTATGGGTTTTTTTCTTTCGGGACAGGATTAATAATTGTGTCAATCAAGGGATGAAGTCCCGGTGCCCACCTATCTTTCTAGAAAAAACTAAAGTACCATCTCCAATCTTCCAAATGACCTTGTTTTCCATAAACAACCAAACACGACAGAGAGCCGACCATAGCCGGGAACAATCAGCCCTCTTAGTGAATGTAGAGATGTCAACCCCGCTGCCCATGTATTTTCCTTTCAGAAGTCTTACCCACAAAGAGTCTGCTTCGTTATGGAATCGCCACGCCAACTTTGAAAGGAAAGCATAATTCATAATTTTTTTACTACTTCAGTCCCAGCCCCTCAAACTCCTTTGGCAATGTTAAGTATCTCATCCAATCATATGATGCCTACGGGTAGTCTCACTTTCACCCCATATAAATCTTCTCTGAATATTTTCAATTTCATCACAGATGGCAACATGGAGCTTACCATGCTGCATGTGAAAGTATGAGATCGAAGATAAAATGGATTGGGATAGTGTAATCCTTCCTGCTTGTGATAAAGTCTGTTGCTGCCAACCCCCAAGCTTGGATTTAACTTTATCAATAATGTGCTCATTTTGTTGTTTGGTTGTTGCCCATGTATCATGCAAGCACCCAAATATCTCCCTACATTTCGCAGCTGTTTAAAGTCGAATCTCTCAATAATGTCCTTAGCAAGCTGCTCTAATGTGTTCTTGGAGAACAAGACACTAGTCTTCTGAACACTCAAT